GGCCGAGATTACCGTACTGTATGGAGCGCCGCGACGCCATTAATTGATTGATCCTTTACAGAAAGGTGATTACTTCATTACCTGTACCGCCCAACACCGCCGTGTCGTCCGACGCACGGCGCGCGGCGCCTGTCACTTAGATTGATTTAAGACTCACAAAATTAAAAAAAATGTTTAGATTATTTATAGAACCATGATATTTTTTACCGAAATGTTGACTATCATGTTGTAATTTTCTCCTAAATGGACTTAACTCATACTTAGGAAAAATAGCGCGCAAGACATTATCTATTATCTCAATAGATGAATGCTGATCTGATTGAGATGTCAATGAGGTGATAATCATTATCATCTCAATACATTGTCACTGATAGTACATACTGATGTAACTAACAGACAATGTTACTGAGTGAATGACTGACACACAACGCACAGCCGAAGTTACTGGACTAAGGAACCTGAAACTTAGCGTGTATCTTAATTAAGTGCGGGAGAGCCATGCTTCGGCACGAATGGGCCGGCTCGACCGGAGTGATACCACGGCCGAGCAGAAGACCGACGTGAAACAACGCTTGCGTTGTGTCATGTCGAGTGAGTGGGGTTACCGGAGGTCTATTGGACCTTCCCAATCCCTGAATCCCCAACAATCCTCAAATTCCTAATACCAAAAGGCTGGTAACGCACTAGTAACGCCTCTGGTGTTCCAGATGTCCATGGGCGACGCCGATTGTTTACCAGCAGGTGATCCGTCTGCTCGATTATCGGTATATCACATAAAAAAATTAGAGTATAAGAGGGCACTAAGAAATAATTTCCCTAAACCACAGAAACCTTAACAACGGAAATGGCCCCCTTTGTACGTATAAAATCGAGGGCAAAAACTAGTTTATTATCAACTTCAAATAAAGAGAAGAGGTATTTTTTAAAGGGAGGAAAATCATCCTATGTCTGCTCCCACCTGGGTGAGGCGGGAGGGAGTGTCAGACTCTTACTGACTAAAAACCACCCCGTTCCTTCTCCTGCACGTCGAGCCGGAGCCCCGGTAACAAGAGAAGTAACGGTATAACGTTCGGATGTTTGTTTTCTTTTTATATCAGTGTGTCGTGTAGTTTACCATATTGTGTTACCTCATGTGTAAAGAGCCAGAGACCGCAACAACTTGTTGATGAAACGTAAATAACAAATACATACATTTTATTAAACAGACATAAATGTATCGTGAACTCTAATGAGCCGTGCGTGACTCTGCTTTTAATTAATTGTATATGATTGATATTAATTGGTATTCTATAGAATGCAACAAGTATATTGAGTAATTAATGAAACTACATTGTGATATTCATTTCATATTAAAAACTATATACATTTATAATTGAAGAAATAAATGTCTATTTTTATTTTTAGAATATTTTGTGGAGAATGTCAATAGATACAGACACAGTGACCACTTACCATCAGACGGCCCATCAAGTATGTGTATTTTAATCAACTACTGTCAATACACCCATTTTTGAAGCTAAAAATTAACTACAGGATAATTTAACAATATAAAATGAAGTCATCGCCAACAGAGCGGGACTATCTAATAATAGCATGATGGACAGGTAATCGTTACAACAATGTAGATAACAGTCAGTATCAGACATATGTAGGCATGGTATCGGATCATAATATATTGTAGTACCTACTTACCTACTTATAGTTATTCATGATATGAACACGCCTATTATATTTCGATAACGGTTTGCAGAGGAGATGATGGAAGTACACAAAATTTCACCTGTTTAGTACATAACATAAAATCACACCTTTTATCCCCGGAGGGGTAGGCAGAGGTGCACATTATGCCACTGTACAATGTGACACCCACTTTTCACTATTTATGTTATGAGTCCCATGTAATAGGGGGTGAGCGTATTGCCATTATACCGGGCACAATTCCAGACTCCGTGCTACAACTGAGATTTTTTTTAAAAACCCAGTAGTACTTTGCCTGACCCGGGAATCGAACCCGAGACCCCTTGCCCGGCAATCGCAATTGCGACCACTCGGCCAACGAGGCAGTGTAACAACAGACTTATCAGACAACATGGTTTAGTAACGAACCACGACCTTCTGTAACTGAATGTAGACTAGTTAGTCAATAAACTATATCTCCGGTACGTGCAAGTGTACATGCACTTGTTATCACTCACTATCAGACACGTATACTACATACTACATGGTGGTAATATAGTAGATAGTGGTAGGCCTTCATTACGGGTGTGGCTGGCTAGAGGCCTAGGTCAATAAACTATAACATAGGAATAGTTGCAGAGGTCTATCTGCTTGATATGTATAGGCTTTTTAATAATTTTATAACATAACATAACATCACGCCTTTTATCCCCGAAGAGGTAGGCAAAGGTGCATACAGAAGTAACACCCACTTTTCACTATTTATGTTATGAGTCCCATGTAATACGGGTGAGCCTATTGCCATATACCGGGCACATTTGCAGACTCCGTACTACTACTGAGATTTTTTTTAAAGCCCTGTAATACTTGCCCGGTAGTCGCACTTGCGACCACTCCGCCAACGAGGCAGTTAATAATTTTATCTTTATTGCTTATCAGGTGTTGTGGGATCTGAAACTGATGTACAACTGGACTTATGACATAACTGACACAAGTTGGTATAGACTGCACGGTTGGCGCGGTGATTGGCCAACTGGCTGCCGCGAAATTTGTTGTGGGTTCGATTTCCGCTCGGAACAACACTTTGTGAACAACACAGATTATTGTTTCGGATCTGGGTATCATGTGTATGTGAACTTATATGTATGTAAACGCACCTACGACACAGAAGATAACCCTGGTGTTTTTTTAACAGGTTCGGTTCCTTTACTAGATTTTGGCCCCTCTCCCACTAGGATATTGTTGAATATGATGCTCAGGACCACTTTCTATCATCGCACCGCTCGCCATCAACAGGGAATTCACTGTACGCTCACACATTGGAGCCCAAATGATCCCGTACAGTTCAGTTTCAGAAGAATTTCCTCACACGGATCCTCCGATTGTGGAATGAACTCTCTGCCGTGGTTTTCCCAGTGGGCTTTATATGGGGTTCTTCAAGAAAGGAGTCAATAGGTTTCCTAAGGGTCGGCAAGGGGCATGTTATGCCCTAAATGTTGCAAGCGTCCATAGACCACGGTAACCGCTTACCATCAGGTGCTTTTTTGTCACCATCGTGATATAAAAAAATATTAAAGTGCACATTCTATGAATATTATCTTTACTCATGATTTTGATAATAAAAGGTATAAAAGGATTCGTTTTATGAGCAAATCTATGTCAACGTACTTTATCAGAAGATCATTCAGGGTAATTTTTTACAACTTGCAAAGATTGTCCTATCAATGAGGTTGGTAACAAAAGTAAGTAATTTATTTATTTATTTAAAATGCTTCATGCACAAAATGTACAAAAAGGTGGACTTAATGCCGCAGGCATTTTCTACCAGTCTGACCTTTGGGTGATGCAGAGAAGAGTAAATGGTAGGTGCAAGAGGCAAGCAGTGATTTTATTTAACAATGACAGATAAACTAATATATTTCGGAGATATACATACATAAATAAATTTAATTATAATGTATACCTACACATGAGTACAATATGCCTACATACATACATATATACATAATATATAAATATATACTTGCTTACTAGTACACAGTGGATAGTTAGCGCGATGATTCAGCCAACCTCTTTAGGAAAAGCTCACGTACTTTCTGCTTAAAAGTTAGTCGAGTTGAGACCATCCTGACATCCAGGGGGAGCGCATTCCACAGAAAAATTGCCTGTACGAAAAAGGATGAATGTAAGAAGTCAGTGCGATGAGTGGGACATTGGAGAAGACGGTTGTGAGAAGAACGAAGATTTTTACTGTGGTTTGCGCATAAGTATTGAAAGTAAGGGGATAGATAACTGGGTGAAGAAGGTGAAGAAAGAAAGGAGAATAGAGTGGTTAGCGCCCTTTGCTCCCTGCGCTGGCGTATGGGCAGCCACTTTAGTTGCAACCGATGTGCAGAAACATGATCGTATTTACGCAGGTTGAAAACGAATCGGATGCAGTTATTTAGAAGTCGGTCGAGCTTATTGAGGAGATCTGCATTCAGGTCGTAGTAGCAGACATCAGCATAATCGATGATAGGGAAAACCAAGGCTTGCACCAACATGGCCTTCGTAGCGGGAGGAAGCAAATTTTTTACGCGATACAGAGCACGCAATGATCCAGTAACCCCCCTGCATACATTTGTGATTTGAGCATGCCACTTTAAATTGCAGTCAATATGCAAACCCAGATTTTTGACGTCAGTACCAAACGGGATTACTGCACCATCAAAGAGCACGGCTGGTAATGATGCTCGGTCTATTCCACCCAGCGTACGGGAGCTACCTATTATAATAGCCTGGCATTTGCCGGGATTAACTGATATACCGAATCTCTCGGACCAGTTCTTGATGGATACCAGGTCACCGTTCATCTCCGAGATCGCATCAGAGAGTCTGTCAACACTGGCCTGACAGTACAGTTGCAAATCGTCAGCGTATAGATGGTACGCACACTGAAGTTCAGAAGTAATGAGATTAATGAAGATAGAGTAATTGCACTTTGATAAAAAATACTGTAAGTAGATAGCAGTATTTTTTTTTCAATAGCATACAAATGCAAACGACTAGGTGGATCACCTGACAGTTAGCGATCTGCGCCGTCTATGGACACCCGCAATACTGAAGGAACAACAAGGGCGTTTAAAAAAGAAGTAGACTTTTAAATTGAAGGTGGTATTAATTCGGAAAAGCTAAGGACGACAGTTAAAATAACAGATGCACACGAGGAAGCTGCCCTGCACCAATACCTACTGACGTCACTTAGTCTCGACTTGATAACCGCTATCATATTGCTATCACGGCTATCGGGTCTGTCAGGGCTATCATTGCCGAAACTATCGCGAGTCGATAGTAATCACACAGAGTCGGCAGTCGACAGACGTGTTCACAAGTAAGTAACCAATTAATTGACTTATCAGCAATAGGCATAATTATTGGTTCCTGGTATAGTTTCAAATGTGCATTTAAATCACAATTAACTCAAAATTCATTTTGTGTTATACCCAAATAAGTAGGTAAATGTTTTGCGAAAATGTTACATTTCAAAAAAAAGGAAAAATATTGGAATATTTTACTTAAAACTACTTTTACTACGAAACTTATGCAGTGTTAAATACTTTTCAGAAATAAATATTTTGGTATATTTTCTGAATACATTCTAATAGACCATGGGTCATGCGTGCCGTGGGTTCGATATATAACATAAAATAACATAACGTCACGCCTTCTATCCCCGAAGATGTAGGCAGAGGTGCACATTACGGCACTTAATACCACTGTACCATGTAACACCCACTTTTCACAATTTATGTTATGAGTCCCATGTAATAGGGGGGTGAGCCTATTACCATATGCCAGGCACAATTCCAGACTCCGTGCTACCACTGAGTTTTCTTAAAAACTCTACTATGCCCGACCCGGGAATCGAATCCGAGACCCCTTGCCCGGCAGTCGCACTTGCGACCACTCGACCAATGAAGCAGTCGATTCGAAGGGTTCGATATCTGTATTTCATAAATGAAGTTAAGTGATGCCTCGGAGAATGAGCATCGTGTTTCATATTAATCTAGTACAGAATTAAATCAAAATACAACTGAAAGGTATGCGCTTCCTTTTTCACGATCCACGTTATTTGTAACCGTGTGATTCTACCAAGTTAGTATAATTGTGGGTAATCGCAATAAGTTCGTAAAATTGACAATATTGATCTTGATTGATGGCTTGGACTTGATTATCATTTAGATTGTGTTATGAGATTGAGTATTTGAATTTATTTTGAAAACGTTTTGAGATAAGGATTGTAATCAAACCATTCTGCATTAAACGAGGAAAAATAATTAACTAAATGCGATTACTTTGTGTTTAAACACTTAAACCTACCTACTTACCTACCCGTTTGAAACTAGATAAAAATACACTGTTTAAACTTGCCGCTATCTCGCTTAAAGGTTAGTGATTAATAACACATTTGATAAACAAACTATAAAAAAATGTACTGCCTCGTTGGCTGAGTGGTCGCAAATGTCACTGCTGGGCAAGGGGTCTCGGGTTCGATTACGACGTTTTTTTTTAAAAAAAGTCTCAGTAGTGTTATCCCCCTTTTACATTGGACTAATAGCATAAATAGTGAGTCGCGGAGAACCTAATGGGTAACCGGAGTTCCGGCTCGACGTGCAGGAGAAGGAACGGGGTGGTTTTTAGTCAGTAAGAGTCTGACACTCCCTCCCGCCTCACGCAGGCGGGAGCAGTCATTCGATGATTTTCCCCCCTTAAAAAAGCATAAATAGTGAAAAGTGAGTGTTCCATTGTACAGTGGTATTAAGTGCCGTAATGTGCATGTCTGTCTACCTCTCCGGGGATTAAAGGCGCAATATTATGTAAAAATGTACTAATATTTCTCTACCTATCCTATAGTAAAGTTATGTTTATGTATTAACTATTTTATTAAATTCAACCTCTGAGTAACCAGAGAGCACGTGTACTGCGTAGGAGCTATTATATCGATATTTAAATAAAATGTCTTTCTACGACTCACCCTTTGCCAAAAGGTCAATTTGGATAGACTATGAAATCCATTCTGGCTATTTAATTCCAATTTTGGTCGCTCGCTCGCCGGGCCGCCTGGTGGGATTACTAAAGGTTACATTCATATTGACCACGAAATATAACTGTACCATTCTTTACATATACTACACGGGGATAAAATCATGCCTTTAATCTCCAAAGGGGTAGACAGATCATGACAAGTATAAAAAAATGATACCCATTTTTCACTAATGAACTTAATAATTATGTTGCTAGTTAATCAATAAATTAGAGAATGGGACCTAAACCTCTTGTTTTACGATATGCCGAACACAATTCTAGACTAGATACCTACTAGATCATTTTCAAATAGTTTAATCGACCAGTCAATCGCACCCGAGACCCTTTGTTTGACAATTTTGCCTACGACCACATGACCGATGAGGTATGCAAAATACAATTCACGTGCATAATATTGTTATAAAGTTTGTAATGACGGAAATATGAAGTATTGAGGTATTATCCTACCATTACCTAATTTGTGTTTATCTGCGAATCTCAGATAATATGATATTACTGAAGATTATCGCGTCGACACTGAGACACTGCTGCCACGCGCACCTTCGAGAAGAATACAATATACAATACTACTGTAATCCCACTAATTATTCATATTATTGTTATCTAGTGATTGTAATAATTCATTAATTTATCTATTGATTGCTTTGCTTACTACTAATGACTATCGATTACGTTTCAAATCTGAACAAATGTCGTGTCCATATCTAGGATTAAGCTACGAAATGTGTACGTGTGTTTAGGTTGGAACACAAACAAAACTATAATATTATCTACGTGTTAGACCTGAATTATCAAAAGATGTATTAAATACAGCTTGTCAAGATTACAGAATTGTGGAAATTCCGTGTCTAGATTGGGAACACCCACGGAAGACGCAGAGTTTTATCTTCTTAAACTATTGCTGACGACAGAATAATCTTTTTCACTTAAGGCATAAAGTAGGAAACTGATGATGTCGTCCGTCAAGCCACAATTAAAAGGATGGCACCGCATCACTTTGGCTCCTCTAGCGTTGCGAGTGTACTCGATTATTATCATCAAACGTTCGTTTAGTTTTTCCCGTATCCCATAAGAATATATTACGGTCTCATGCACTTATTTGTATGTTGTACGTTACAGAGACTCAACAATGAGTGAAGTGAAGCGCTACACATTCGCGGAGGTGGCGGCGCGCGACGGCAGCAATGGACAGCCGCTGTGGCTCGTTTACAAGGACTCTGTGTATGATCTCACCAAGTACATCGATGAGGTAAGCAGGGAACTAGGTACAAATCTAAACGTATGCCCTATGCACAAGGTTCCTATTGCTGAGCGTAGGCCTAAGGAGGGGTCCTTACTGGAATGACTGGCTGGTTGGACCCTGTGACTTTTATTAGGTCATCCGTCGAGCTTGTGAGTCGACGTGTGTCGCCAACCATATGCTAATTGGGTTATTATACTTATTATATTATACTCCAGATGTGGTACCGTATAGACAACTTACTATTACGTTTTCAGATTCAGTCTTCTACAACTACTAAATTGTACATTTTTACACACAGGTTCCTAATTAATCCGCTCGCTATTCCAGCACCCGGGCGGCCACGACACTATCCTGGAAGACGCTGGGAAAGACATGTCGCGCTCATTCGATGACGTCGGCCACTCGTCGGACGCGCGCCAGATACTCGTCAAATATAAGATCGGAGAGATTGTCGAGGTCAGTAGCTGAAACTGTACAACTGTGATGTATAGTGCACTCATTGAGTACTGGTGTCGGGAAGGATTTCAGACTCTGTTGGCTTAAGACATTTTGAACATCTACATTTTTTAACTAGGAAAGCCTCACTCACATACATACATATACCTTAATATTGCAACCACCTTTGGTTTAAAATGCTATCACAGTATAATTTAATGTCGAACTGTATAAAAACGCACGTGATGAAAAATTAATATCTGAAAAATCTTAGCAACAACTTTAGTTAGGTTTCTTCAACATTCTTATACTAAAACCTTTAGTCTTTTTGAAGACAAGGCACAATATAACGTAGGTGAACGTCGGGTCAATTACTGTTACAGTATTTTATTTCATGAGGAGAATCCCTTCCCCCACCCTTCCACCTGGGTTCCAATAGGATCCTACATATCTTGCGGGATAAAAACTGATCCCGCGCCTAATCTACGGTCCACAACATTATGTACCAAACTTTAGCCCGTTAAGTCCAATTTCACTTACATTTTATTTAAAAAATCAGTTGTAGAGGTATTTCCCAAATATATACTTCAACATTATCGTTGTATAATATATCTTAATGCCTTAGTTTTATTGATAAAGATAATCTGCGTACGTGTATTTAGTATCAGTGATGACTATTCAATAATTATGAAGACGATTAGCGCATGTGCGACTAACATATATTTGTATAGATAGTAAGTAGGTACGTACGTGATATAATTGTATTTGATTAATGAATATTGGAGCTACAGAGATAGTGGTACACGCGTTGTCTTTGTTATCGTCTTAACATTTTTATATGTATTATCGATACATTATAATTTCCGGCTAAAACTGATTGTTACTATTATTACTATTTATTACACACACACACACACACACACACGTATTTATATTGTACAAACCTACCAACAGCAAGTACCAATGTGACTTTTTCCGAGTTATATGTACTTTCTAAGATTATCTAGACACCACGGACAAGCTGTGAAGGAAAATATTGTGAAGAAATCTAGGCTTATAATTTCTAATTATAAGTTTGAAATCGCCAACCCGCATTGATCGAGCGTGGTGATTAATGTTCAAACCTTCTCCGTGTGAGAAGAGTATACACATGAGGAATACAGTTTTCATAGCTTTAGTCTGATTATGGATTTTTGCGATACCAATGCAATGTTGTCACTGGTGCGTTGTCGACTTAAATTAATTCCAGAATTACCTTCGTTCAGTGGAAAGGATTTTTTTTACTAAGCGTATACCTACGTAATATGTAGGTATGTCATTTTTCCTAGAAGTGCAAAAATAGATTTTATGCAAATTGCATCGTCATTTCAGTACTAGGACTAGTCAGCACAAAATACAGCTAATCACTGAGAACATGAATTGACTGTTTGTAATATCTCTAAATCATTATCAAAATCAATTATTTAAATCAAATTAAACTCAGATACAGTGCAGCAAAACACTTATTGCTTTGCTTAGATAACGTGTGAAGATAAATAAATAGTCGCTAGATTGATTACATTTTTTTTTTATTGTAGGTCGATTTTTAGCATTAGAACTGTTTAACTGTACATTTTGAAAAACCTCAGCGTGATTATTTGCAAATCAATATAAAATAACCACTATGTTCCTGAGTATAGCGATAGTGCACAATATCAAGAGTAGTTAGTTAGCTCGCCGAGTAGAGTTCGATGTTGCGCGGCTATATCGCCGCAGAGAGTGGAGCTCGCGGCTATAATGAGCTATACTGCGGTACTTGGAGGCTATCACGAGGCTATTACCGGGTTTTCTTGAAAGCCAAGTTGGTTAGAAACTACTTACTACAATTATAACTAGTGTTATTATATTTATTGCTCCGTTGTTGTAGTAAATGTACGAAGTGTTTTTATTAGTGATGGAGTAAGGATATTATGTGTTCCGTGTTAGGTATTTTTTAACGGGGGAAAATCATCGAAAGACTGCTGCCGCCTGGGTGAGGGGAGGGAGTGTCAGACTCTTACTGACTAAAAACCACCCCGTTCCTTCTCCTGCACGTCGAGCCGGAGCCCCGGTTGGCGGTTACCAGTTAGGTTCTCCGCGACTCCGTGTTAGTTTAGGAATCCATGATTATGGGTTATCATCCTCTCAAAAAATGTAACTATACGAGTAAACGTACCTATATTAGCTATTTTTGTTGTTATAGTATATTTGTAAATGTAACTGATAGAGACTAATTTGTAGATGCCCTGCATTATATTTCTCGGGTAAGGATGAGTACTTTTTCATTTTGAACTTTGAACTTTTTCAGTAGTTCCTGGGATTAGCGCTTTCAAACTAACAAACAAACTATTCAGCTTTATAGAATAAGTCTAAGATTTATTAATCACCTCAATAAATAAACCGTTGCAGTATAATTGTTTAACGACATTTATTTAATATCAATAAGAAACTCTATCAATAGGTATCATTACTGCAATCTTACAAAGCGGAGGAGTCTATAGTCTATTGACAAATACCGTTCATTCGCGGATGAATGGAACACAATGAGTGAACGATAAGAGACGCCTGTTTCACTGTGATTAGTTGTTTCACATAGTTCATGCGACGCGACGCGACGCGACGCTACAATACTTAGATCTAGATTAGATACGCACTGTCTTCATTTCGTCTGGATTGAGATCTGTTCTGTTTCTTTTATTTATTTCTTATTTGAACTTACAGGGTGATTGAATTATATTGACTTATTGACTTGAAATGGGTGATTAGAACTGTACTGTTTATCGAGTTATTGTACACGTAATTGCTGGAGAGAGTGGGGTCTAAGCCCAAGATTTACTGGGTTTTACAAATCTTTCAGCAATAATACTGTCTGAAATGTTGTTCGTTTTACACCGTCCTCAATGTGCAACGCCCATTCCGGCAAATCCCTAGGAAAACCTAGACGTACGTCTTTCGTGTGGGCCATTTCAATTAAATTCAAAACAAACAATTTAAAATTCCAGGAGGAGAAACGCTACGATGCCAATGGTAAGAAGAAGAAGCGAGTCGTGGCTGCGAAACCAGAGGACAAGCCGACCACCCGGAGCTGCTTCAACATCATCACCTGCGGCCTGCTGGGCTGATCATAGTGACCATGTCATCACAATGATCACATTTAAGTAAAGACGACAGCTACTCTTTCTAACCCTAGTCGATCCTTTAATCGATTTTCGACATTATTGCTAAACCGTAACAGTGACAATCTATCGATGATAGCCCGCCAGAATGACAACAGCATGTCAACTATGCAGGTTCTACCTTCAATATTTGCCTCGCAACAGATGAAATTGTTCATCGAATTATTATACTTTTTGTAACTATTTATTTGAATTCTACTAATGTCTCTCTCATTTAACGGCCTAATTCGGCCCTTCCTATTATGAAAGTGATCAGTATCTCCTTGATGTCAGTAGATTTTATAGTTCCTACAACTAGTTCAAACTATACTTAACAAATCAAGGATAAAGTGAATAAAGAATGCCCGCTCTCACCGTCCCGTCCCGACACACTATTGATACAAAACAAACTAACTAATCTATTTCACGCTAACTCTGACTTCCTATCGACAAAGTTCACAAAGTCCTTCTCACTTGCAGCTCACAAGTTTGTCTCCAACTTTTCCAGCGTCCAATGAATAACTTCTAGTTTTCTATAAATCAAATTGAAATACGTTTTGCTCAATGGTAAATTCTCGAAGTGAAATGAATTTATCAACTGAGTTTATTATGTGACTAAATGGGTAGGTGTTTGGACAATATTCTGTACAATTCTGAAACTTTCCTACACCTACTCGTTAAAGATATAATTGTACATAACTAGGTACTTATAACTGGCTCTCGTAGGTAGTACTTAAACTCGCTAAGCTTTTAATTATCTACTAAGTTAATATGTATAAATTATACTTGTAAGTTTTTGTTATGATCGAAATATATTTTATTTTTGATAATAAACCTTTTTGTTGTTTCTATTTGTTGTGACGATGCTGTTCATACATTAATTATTCCGGAAATTATTGCATAATTCTAAAAATCCGCAATTTATACCAAAGTGTAGGTACCTATTAGATTTAAAATCTAGGAATTGATTTTAGGATAGGTACAACAAATAAATCCTATTTACTTAATGGAATTCTATAGGGTTCTCATATTTCACCGACACGTGTGAGGTAATTCCAATCATTTTCCAATATGATTAGGTTTTAAATCCATCAACAAGCCGCGCCGACTGATTGCGACGTTCGCACAGGAGGCAGGAGTGACGTCATGTGACAAACTGTCACGTCATGTGTCAACTTGACAGCTAGGGATTTGTTGACAGTAATTGAATGATGAATGAGTGAAATGAATGCAAAAATAAGGATTTTTATTATTGTTAGCTTTGAAGATTTTATGTCTGAGGCTGGTGTTTAAAGGCTTTTCGTCATTTTTCAGAGTTCATTTTACCTGGACAATAAGTAGTAATGGCTTGATGATCTAAAATTTCAAATTAAATTTTAATTATCTTCTAAAATAGATTAGACGATTAATTTTTAAATGGTCGAGGTTTGAAATTACGTTTATTCCTATAAGAATTACAATAATTCATTCACGTGAGAAACAATAAAACTAAATTACAATTAGGTAATACTCAGTGAGTCGTATGCTTTAGTAAACCTACTTTTTTATATTGAACATAAACACGAAAAAATTTTAATCATGACATAAATATCATACACGGATACTGACTACTAGAAGTGACATGCACTATGGTGCGCTCGCATTGTTACCTGTAATTTCAATAATCTTTTAAATATTTGCATTGTTACGTTCTTTAGTAGTTTGTCGTACCTACCTACCTACATTGATGCACCCTCGTGCATTAAATACAACCAACTTATGATTACTTTTGGACTTATTCCCCTTTCTTTCAGTTAATTAGTAGCCAGTGAGACAGTGAGTACATTCAATAACAGTGGTGCACAATGCACGATGGTACAGTGTGTGTCTACGTCTAATGCAGTGTGTCCTACAACAGCTGGCGGCAGGCGGCGGGCGGCGGGCGGCGGGCGGCGGGCGACGGCTGGTGGCGGCGCTATTGTGCTGGTGCAATACTGAGCTGCGACATTGGACACCCTGTTAATAACACTCCCTGTAGCATTAATTGTGCCTTTGTAGCTAGCTATAGGGAACAAATAACGTAGTGACAAGTCTGGATTACCAACAGGAGTAATTTGTCTGTACTTAATACTTAGATTCCATTTGCTTTGCACAAGTTAGGTACTACAAACTATAATTTAAATTAACTAATAATCGTGGGCTACTCACGTGAATATACCTACTGAGGAAAGCTCTACTAGTTTCGAACAATGAACGGCGATGTCGCGCAGCTTACCGGCTGGCGTTGGCGCTCGCATCGGTGTTGCTTCTTGCGCTGCGAGCCCAAACTATAAATTATTTTCAAGTTGAAATAAGGAACGGCATGTCTTAGGTTAGATATATACTTATAGTTAGGTACTATTAGTTGCTGGAGTAGGTACAATAATTATATATAAGAAAATCCTTCGTGAGGTACTTACAAACTAGTCGCAACTTCGTAAATACAGTGCAAACATAGGTGTCACCTCCGTGAGGTTGGTTAATGAAGACAAATGCAACATACAATGAGTATCTGTTTCTAATAGTTATGTAGAATAGGAAAAACCCGTATAAGTGATCGATCGACAATGTTATGCATCACCGTATATTTTCTCTCTCATGGAGGGAGGTGCTTCCTCTTTTAGGATTAGTGGGTAACTGACTGCTACGCAACGTATTGCAAGGTTGATACCTGCTCAGAACAGTTACACTTAATATTCACGAAGTCAAGTCAAGATGAAGACTGGATCGGGAGTCAGGAGCGCCCGGGAGTCGGTAACGAAGTTTTGAAACCAAAAATAAACATTTTACATTTTTAAACGATCCTCCTCTTCAAAGAGATCGAGGACAGTTTAAACTTTTACTGTATCATCTAAGGCCTGCCGCGGTTGCGCCCGCAGCCTTTGTAGAATATATGTAGATATGTATGTAAAAATTCAAAGCACATTTCTCGTCGCGTTTTGCGCCCGCGTCTGTTGCGATTGTTTGCGGTTCCCGCTGCACCAACAGGCGCGGTGGCGGTCCCGCAGCCGCCGCAGTCCCGCAGAAAGTTGCTGTATCGTGAATTTTGAAAATACCGCCTCCATTCTGCCACCGCGGTGGGCGCGGGAGTAAATCGCGCCGTGATTCCTTAGCCTAACACTGTCCAACTTTGTACCGACGACGACACCACGGGAATGTTACAGCTATCTATAAACCCTATTAACACAATATGATATTGATATTCATGGCAATTTATGTAGGATAAACTTCCGTGACAAATCACGGAGAAATAATTTTTTATAGATTACGTTTCAAAAACCCGACTTCAATGTCCTCTTTTTGACGTCGGGTAGTAAAAATAAAACAATGTTTCTCCCAAGTGTAACAAACACTTTTCTGAAAACTGCACCAAATTCAGAAGTTGGGAGACGAGCACGCCGTGGAGGCAGTGATTGGACGCGTTAATGATCGCGATATAATCGTACACAAACATATACTTATATGTATATAATAATAATAATAATATTGCACTTTAACTGAAATAAAAACATAATCATAATCATAATCATTTATTCATTTGCGAACATGGGTACAAAAGAAAAGATCTTATACAAAATAGTGTCCATTAACCGTGATTTTCTTTACATGCATACATCATACAGGTCAAACTGAGAATCTCATTTTTTATATTTGAAGTCGGTTAACTAAAACGTACTGACATAAGTATCTACATACCTTAATCTTTTATTACTAACTAGCTGTGCCCGCGACTTCGTTCGCGTAGAATAGTGACTATGAGCAGCGTTTTTTTTTAAATATATACTTATTTTTATTTTAGATTTGGATCATAATCACAGTCATTTTGGGTAGCTAAAAAACCTACTTTACTGTAATGCTTCTCTATATACAATATTAGACGTATGGCCATCGGGGGTGAAAGCATACAGGCTGCTGGGATTGCTAACACGGGACAGAGCCACATACAATTGACCGTGCGAAAAACAGCTGATACTTAGATCTATACCCACAACTTTTAGAGTCTGACCTTGAGCTTTATTAATTGTCATGGCGAAACATAGGCTCACTGGAAACTGAATTCGTTTAAAATTAAACGGAAAATTTTTTGGAATGAGAGGAATCTGAGGAATAAAACCACTATCACCTTTTCCGCACCCTGTTAAATATATATATATTTATAAGCCATTTCTGAGATTAGCGTGAACAGACAAACAGACAAACAGACAAAAAAAAAGTTAGTTACATTTTTGGGTTCGACATCGACATAACAATAGCCCCTGCTATTTTTTTTATTTTTATTTTCAATGTACAGACAGCACTTTTCTACAATTTTATTATATGTATAGATAGATAGATAGATAGATAGTGTTCGACGTGATTCTTTAATTTGACGTAACTTTTTTATTTATGAACCGATTGACATGAAACAAACACTAAAGCATAACTGAAGCATACCACAATATATTCGTGAAAACCGCATCCAACTCGGATAAGCCGTTTCTGAGATTAGCGTGAACAGACAAACAGACAAACAGACAAAAAAAAAGTTAGTTACATTTTTGGGTTCGACATCGACATAACAATAGCCCCTGCTATTTTTTTTATTTTTATTTTCAATGTACAGACAGCACTTTTCTACAATTTTATTATATGTATAGATAGATAGATAGATAGATAGTGTTCGACGTGATTCTTTAATTTGACGTAACTTTTTTATTTATGAACCGATTGACATGAAACAAACACTAAAGCATAACTGAAGCATACCACAATATATTCGTGAAAACCGCATCCAACTCGGATAAGCCGTTTCTGAGATTAGCGTGAACAGACAAACAGACAAACAGACAAAAAAAAAGTTAGTTACATTTTTGGGTTCGACATCGACATAACAATAGCCCCTGCTATTTTTTTTATTTTTATTTTCAATGTACAGACAGCACTTTTCTACAATTTTATTATATGTATAGATAGATAGATAGATAGTGTTCGACGTGATTCTTTAATTTGACGTAACTTTTTTATTTATGAACCGATTGACATGAAACAAACACTAAAGCATAACTGAAGCATACCACAATATATTCGTGAAAACCGCATCCAACTCGGATAAGCCGTTTCTGAGATTAGCGTGAACAGACAAACAGACAAACAGACAAAAAAAAAGTTAGTTACATTTTTGGGTTCGACATCGACATAACAATAGCCCCTGCTATTTTTTTTATTTTTATTTTCAATGTACAGACAGCACTTTTCTACAATTTTATTATATGTATAGATAGATAGATAGATAGTGTTCGACGTGATTCTTTAATTTGACGTAACTTTTTTATTTATGAACCGATTGACATGAAACAAACACTAAAGCATAACTGAAGCATACCACAATATATTCGTGAAAACCGCATCCAACTCGGATAAGCCGTTTCTGAGATTAGCGTGAACAGACAAACAGACAAACAGACAAAAAAAAAGTTAGTTACATTTTTGGGTTCGACATCGACATAACAATAGCCCCTGCTATTTTTTTATTTTTATTTTCAATGTACAGACAGCACTTTTCTACAATTTTATTATATGTATAGACTACACTTCCAATAGTTTCTTGTTTGCACTAAGTAGGTATATTTATCAATAAAAAATTATGGTAACATGGAAGGTATAGGTTTTTATTGGAGTAAATAAATAGTTTACAGTTTTCATGTTACCTATACGTATATTATACAAAAACGTGTCAGCTATTTCTGTCTTTATATGCAAATGTGATCGAAATCAAAGTTCAATTGTTTTAATCTACCTCGTATGTAAATACAGTGAGAGGTACATAC